ACAGAGAGACAGAGAGACAGAGAGAGACAGAGAGAGACAGAGAGAGACAGAGACAGAGACAGAGAGAGACAGAGACAGAGAGAAGAAAAAAGAATGAAATTTTGGTGAGGGTGTGGGATAATAGGATTTCTTCTTTAATTCTGGTGGGAATATAAATTAGTACAGCTACTGTGGAAATAAATACAGACATTCCATAAAAAGTTGAAAATAGTCCTTACATTCTATTCTCCTGTACCATTCCTTTGCATATACTTAAAAGAATTCAAGTCAGCATACTACAGAGATGCCTGGCCTCCATGTCTGGTGCAGTGCAATTCACAGTAGTTCAGCTAGGGAGCCAGACAAGGTGCCATGAATGGTTTAACTGATATAAATCAACCACAAAAAAGAAAAAAAATTGTTATATATAAACCACAGGAAAGAACAAAATCTTGTCACTTGCAAGAAAATGGGTGGAAATCATTATGTTAAACTGAATAAATCAGCCTCAGAAAGTCAAATATTCAATGTTTCTCTCACATGTGAAATCTAGGGCCGGGGAGGGGGGGGAGACTATTAGAGAAGAATAAGGAAATCAGGCAGTGGGAAGGTAATGGAAGGGGATAGTGGGCAGTGAAATAATCAAATTATGCTAACTACATTTAAAGTATGCCAAAGCAAAATCCATTGTGTAAGTGTGAGGTCATGTGTTCAATCTCCAGTATCAAAAAAAAAAAATACATTCTGTATAACTAATATGAACTAATAATAAAACTCACAGACAAAACAAAATGAAACACAGCTCTTTATTTCATTGATCTTTTCTATTTTTGATTTAGTTTTGAATTTATTTACTTTTGCTTCTGAAATTTATCATTTCTTTCCTTCTACTAATTTGGGTTTGGTTTGTTCTTGCTTTTCTAAGTCTTTGACAAGCATTGCTAGTTTATTTGAGATAGCACTTTATTTTCTAATGTACACATTCATTGATACGAACTTTCTTCTTAGTATTGCTTTTGATATATCCCCAAATTTTTGATAGGTTGCATTAATTTCATTCCGTAGAATGTTATCTTTCTTTCTCTTTAAATATTCAAAATATCATTGATCATTTAGACCCTAGCATTAAATTTCTACTTTTTAATATTTTCCATTCTGCCTATTGTTGACATACAGTTTTACTTCTCTGTGGAATGAAAAGATATGTGACTTGATTTTAAGATTTAAAAATTTATGGATATCATATTTCTGTTTTATATATGAGAAGAATGTGTTATATTGCTGTTGGACCAAATGTTTTGAAAATGAATATGAGGTTGATTTGTTCTATAGTATGAAAAACTCAAGGGGTTTAAACATTTTTTATATCTCTCTGCTAAGGAAACTGGAATATTTAATTCTATTATTGTGTGACTCTTTCTTTCATTGTAACTGTTTGATTTATGTATCTTTGTAGTCTCATAGTCAGTGCATATATATTTTTAAAATTGTCATATCTTCCTATGAAATTGACTTGATTATCAATGTTTAATGACTTTTCAGTTTTAAATATAAATTCTACTTTATCTGATAGTCTTGCTTGACTTTAATTAATTTAATTTAATTAATTATTAATTTCCATATATATATTTTTATAGACCTTAACTTTTAATCTATGTGAATCTCTACCAGTGAAGTCAGTTCAGTTCACAGGCCTTTGAAAGAGGTTTAACTGCAGATAATTTTGGAGGAGTGTAAACTAGCCATGGCAAGTATTTCTGATTGGAGGATGAGAAATCTTTCTGTTTTGTACAAGGAATCAATGGATGCCCTAAGGCAGGAGATTTGATAGTGTTCAACACTATCTAAGATACATAGGATAATAGCATTAATGGCTCTAAAATTATATAGCCCTTTTAAAATCTAGTGAAAGTATTTGATTCCATATCTGCCTAGAGGAAAATCATATATATTAATGATGCATGACATAAAACACAAAATTTTACTTTCTTATTTGTCCCAAAATTATACTTTGATTTTAAATACATTTTCCTTTGTTCCTGTGTGGAAGGACAAATTAAAGGATACTGATGCTGTGATGTATTCTGCAGAGTTGATATGGTCTTCTTTAACTTTATTAGCATTTAAAATGAAGGTGGCTGCTTTGTACTTCCAAGATACTTTGAAAGTATTCCTCTGTAGAGCATCCCTTTTCCCCTTATTACAAAACTTGTCCAGAAAACCCCTCAATCTGCAACTATCCCATACCAATAGACTAAAATATCATTTCCAAACCTACAGCTTTTCTGCTAAACAATTTTTCTAGGAATGGTGCCATATCTCTAGCTACTTGGCTTTGCCAAAAGGCAGTACTCATCCAATGGCCCTGACTCTGGGACTGATACCAAATGATGGTTCAGGCTGGGGGTAGGCAGTAAATCAGCAGCACAAACTGAAAAATGCAGCAGCTTTTCATACCTTTTATCTTTTTTCCAGATGATTGGCCTATCTCTCTCACCTTCTGCTTCTATTCATGAAAGAAGCCTTTAGTCCCCTTAATCTGTGGCTTGATGGTAATATATTCACTTGACAGTGCCTTTCTCAATTGTGAGAGAAAATTCACACCTTTCGAAGCAAATGCAATCAGATTTCCTACGACTGTAGTCTTTCTCCAGCACCTATGTGCAACTGTGCAATGCCTGATAGAAGCGGATGGTGCCGAGGAGTGGGAAATGGGCCTGAACAAAGTGTCAGACAGTCAAATGGGAGCCAGGAGAGAGGTTCAAAGCAACGGGCAGAAGGCATCTCTCACAAACATTCCGTCTGACTGAAGGCTGCCTTCTGCTCTCAGCCTTCCTGGAAGCTGAGGCAGAGAAGCTGTGAGTTGCTTTGGCCGGGAAAGTCTAACTGTGTTGCCTGTATTTAATAATGTATAAAACTATGAACCCATCCTTGGAGATCATAGCTATGTGGTATTTCTTGGATGTAGAAATTAAAGCCATCTGCCTCTGATCTGTGTACATCTGATACAATACTGTATCTCTTAGTTCATCATTTGTCTGCCTGGCCTTTCTCCTTCCTTGCCTGCTTTCTTTGGTTCTTGCCTTCCTGTGTTTTTTCTTTCCTTCCCTTTCCTCTGTCTACCCCTTTCTCTTTTTAAAAACTTGGCTGCCTCAGGTAAAGTGTGTTGTGTTTGTGCTGAGTTGATTACCGTAAGTAGTGAGCCAGAGGCTACTATTATTTCCACATTTGTATGCTGTAGCAGGGGCAGAGAAGTACACATATTAAGAAAATCATATTTAAGAATTGATACTTCATCTTTTAGTTAATGCTATTGTGACTTGCCATTATCTAGTACATTTATGGGTATTTCATTTAAAAAGAAGGGATTAATTTTATATATTGAGTTTTTGAGTATATCCTAACACCTAAAAAAAGCAGTTACTGATAAATAGGAAGCTCTCTCTCTCTCTCTCTCTCTCTCTCTCTCTCTCTCTCTCTCAATCTCTCTGTCTCTCTCTGTCTCTCTCTCTGTCTCTCTCTGTGTCTCTGTCTCTCTATCTCTGTCTCTCTCTCTCCATAAGTAAATTAAATTTAGAAACATACTCATGCATACACATACATTTCTAATAATCTGCTGTCACATGAGCAAACCTCAAAGAAAGAAATAGCTGTGTGTTTAGGAGTACTCTCTTAATCTGGTCAATGCGTAATTCTGAATCTCTTGTTGAGTGTTTCCCCACAAGGTAGTAAACTCTTGAGAATGCTTTCATTCTGTGACTCCTTTGTTCCTTGGTCTTAGAAATTGTTTCCTACAGGCGCAGTGTTTTCCTGGCTGGAATTTCATTCAATTTTTCTTGTTTCTACTTTAGAAAACATGCCACATGAATAATGATGCCACAGGCAAAGAAATTAGTCCAATAGTATAATTTAAACTTAGGACACATCCTGCCTTCACTTGCATTTGCAATTTGCCTGTGCAATCAGTAGGAATTCTGCCCACACATAAGCTGACAGAGTCAAGGCTCTCTGGTTAGCAATTATTAAAATGTAAAAGTCCTCTTTTTCACTTTCAATATATTTTATTCATTTGCTTCTGAGGCAGAATCCTGAGCTGCCTCCTTGTTTCTGCTCCCTGTGGGTATCCAGATCTGAGGGAAGTTCCCAGCTCTAAATATCCTCATTGTTTCAGGAATTGCTTGACAAAAATGAAACTGTAAGGTCAGTCTCACAGCCTTAGCGAGTGAAAATTAGAAGTCAATAATTCTGTTACCATCAAAGAGAACTTAAATGCAACACAATTCTTAAAGTGATGCTGTGTGAACAATTTGGTAAATATCATCAACGGTGGTGAAGAAAATTAAAGGGCTCGTACATCAGTTATAGGGAAAAAAAAAAAAAAAACCTTGAAATTTCCTGTATTTCATATCCTAAAATAAGCATTTCTGTTTGTTAATAGAACTGGTAAAGGCATCAGGAATGGCTTTTTGTATCAGAAACGAGAATGCCAGTCATTCTTCTGTAATAGTGAATTAATAAAAAGTGGGAAAATACATTGTGGAACAATGTGAAATAGGGACTCTTAAGTCGCCAAGGACAATTTTAAAACATGGTGAAAATGGAAAGTCTCTAATTTCTGTATGCACTGATTTGACAGCTACGGTAGTCGGATCGGTTGTAAATTTAATAGCAAGCCTCATCACGCAGCTAAATGAGGAAGGAAGGCCAAAAAGAAAAAAAAAAAAATTATAAGCACATGGCACCACACCCCTCCAACATGTAGCAGTGGGGGAAACCCAGATTGGCAACCTGTGTTCCAAACATGAACTGCGTGAAACCTTCAGGAGAGGGTTGGGGAAGGGTTTCCTTTAACTGTGTCCTTCCTAGATAAAGGGACCCCATTCTAGCTTTTAGGATTTAGAGATTCATAAAAATGACAAGCAAAGTTTTGGCTTTATGGCTTGATTTTCACTGAAAGGTGTGACTGGGTCCCAAGGGAATGTGCGAAGGGAGGGAAAAGCAAGCTGCGTGGGTGAGGGAGAGCAGGAGAGGCGTGCGCCAGTCTCTGGCAGGAGGGCGTGGATCCCGGCGCCAGCCAGAACAGGTCCAGCCTTCTCGCCACCAGTGCCAACAGCGGGAGGGGACAGCCGGGATCTCCGTGGGCAGACCCGGGTGCGGATCAGCGGAGACAGCTCGACAAGAAACTCCTGGATCTGACAGAGCCGCTGGACCCTGCTGTGCCCTCTGCCCACTTCAAGCCAGCTTGGGGAGAAGTTTCCCGGCGGGAAGGTGCCAGCCCAGGTACTGGAGGCGACTCAGGTGTGTCAATTTGCACATGTCTTGATAGCTGGGGGTCTCTGCTTCGTCCCAGTGGGCAACTCTTGGGGTGAGATGGAGGAGGAATGAAAGCTTTGCTCCTGGAAGCAAAGATTTAGCGCATTGGGATAAGAAATGGTGCGCAGTCACGGATCCCATCATGCTTGCTCAAAAAGGGAGTGATCGGAGCTCTCCGAGCCCCCAACCTGAGAGGAGACAGCTCCTCTCCTACCCCACCTCGGGTAGCTGGGGCTAGATTCAGAAGCTCGCGGGTGAGTTCGGTGGAGTAAATAGTGTCACTAGCGGGGAGACCTTCAGTCTTTCTTGGCACCTCCCTTCCTCCTCCTCTCATACCCTCCTGAGCGGATTCCTATCTTCTTGTAGATTCCAGTCGGTTGTTGGGTGCGGGGTCTAAGGTTCAGCGCATTTGGAATCTTTCTTGGCTTCTGTCTCCCTTGCCCATCTCTTAGTGCCTCCAACCTCTATCTTGTTTTTGTGTTTAGGAAAGAATTTTAGATCCCAGTGGGGTTCCGAAAACGCTGCCACTCTAGAATGGGGTTCTCTGAACTATAGGGCTGGGGGGTGACGGTTGACAAAACCGAAAGGCAGAGATGCTCCACCTCCAGAGGCCACCGCGGGGGCGAGAGGGCAGCCGGCCTGGTTACCATGGTTCCCTGGTAGCCGAGTGGGGACCTAGAGATGCCAGTCACGGATGGTCCCTTTTCCCTCTTTGTTTCTCTCTCTCTCTCTCTCTCTCTCTCTCTCTCTCTCTCTCTCTCTCTAGCTCTCTCTCTCTCTCTCTCCCCCCCCCCCGTACCCCGCCATCGGTGAGATTGCGCGTGGGGAGGGAGCAGGAACCTAGTGATTAATTTGGAGAGCGGGGATTGGAACCACGAGACTGGGCAGCCCTGGGCTCTTCACCTGGACTCCTTTTGCTTGCAGCGAGCCACACTTTCTCAGCCGGGGCCAGGGCTGAGGAATTTCTGCGAAAACCCGGGGGCCGGGGAACCCGCCCAGACACTGGCCCAGGTATTCTAGCCCAGATGGTGCACAGGGGCGAGCGGAGAGGTGTGCGCGCTGTCAGCAAAGCGACCTGCTGCGGACGCTTGAGGGAGAGCGGAGGAGGACAGGTGTGCAGCGCCAAGCTGGGTGCTTAGGCGGGGAGGGAGCCGCCGCTCAGCGCTTGGAGAGGGGGTTCAGCCCCTTGGCCACAGACATAGAGCAGCCCACGGAATGGGCAAGGGTTTGGCAGGACAGGCGCGTGCGCGATCGCGCGCTCCCGCTGGGATCTTCCCGTCGGGGTGGGACAGAGGGGTATCTGCGCGTGCGCGTGGAAATTGGCAATTGTAAAACACCTGGGTTAGAGCAAGGTGGTCTCCTTGGGCAACCGTGTGAGTTAGCATTCCAGCTAGACCTTCTCTGTGATGTGTGAGTTGGAAGAACCCTGTATTCCATCCTTCACATTCCCTTTCCAAATAATAGGGATAATATCTACGCATTCTGTACAGGATTGTTGTAACCCTGTAATGACACAGATCAGGTGGACAGTTTACCCTGTGACTGATGCATCATACAGTTTAAAAGTTTCTTACTGATTGCATTTCTTTTAATATTAATCCACAAGTAATTGGGTTTTATGGATTTTCAATTTCTCTGCTTCTTTACTGAGGGCAAGGCAAAATTCTGTGCTTTCTAATCTTAAAGACTAATACCAATATCAATATTACAACTTAGTCTAAATCTTAGTTCTGGCTTGTAGTAAACTGGAACATATAAATTGCCTAATTGCTGGTCAAGTTGAACTTTCAATATATTGATGGTCAGATATATTTAGAGAGCTATTTGGAGAAACTTTGGACAATAAGAAAAGCTTATTCTGTTGCTTTGTGCATCAAATTTTATGCTTCCACTTTTACCTCCCCTTGTTGTAGTTGAGTTTGTCTTAATTCAGTCTCTTTGTGATGGAACATCTTATAACTTTCATGATTTAACCTGATTCTAGAGTCTAGTATATATCCTGACATTTTATAGCCTGAGGCCTGTGAATTTATCTTTAGTAATGACAATGTCACTATAATTGTTCCCTGAAAACTCATTGTTATGGGTTGATATTGTCATTGAACAAATGGAGACAAATAGTTATTACTGGCCAGATGTGAGTATTGACTACAGCAGTTCATTAAAATCTCTTTCAGGGCATGCATGTGCCTACTTCACTGCAGATGCACAGGACTATAGTTATTGATATATAACTTCCAGGTTATTTTCATACTCATAATCATATCTCATACTTGTAAAATTTTTTTGTATTTGTGCATAAATAGAAGGATTCTTTAAGTATTCCAACTTACCTGGTGATGAGGAAGCTGTACTAAGGACCTCCTTGCATGTGTGACAGGAGTAGATACTGTACATACTGTGTTTTATTTTAAGTTACTACATACTACTAAATGAACCAATTTTAAATATTTGTAATGAGTTTGCTAAATTATGCTCATGTCCTGATAGATTTGAGGCAGTGAAGCCACACATATTATTACAAAGATCCTCTATGATATTTATGACACACTTCACTTTGAAAAAAAATATTTGTTGGGCAGAAGTCTAAAATCTTTGAAGACTGGAGATTGACCTAAGATTGCTTTATAGAAATAATTTAGCTTCATCTATTTTTATGAAGCATTAAACAAGGAAAATGACAGAGACTTATATGTGATCTTAGTAGTTTTTAACTTTAAACAATTAAGTAATAAAGTGGAATGAATGACATCAGATTTGAAAGAATGATTATCAAGAAATCCTGGGGCGTCTGTTCAGGTAATAGGGTACTGCTTCAAGTTTGGCTTTGGTTTCACTCTCATCTTCACAGTGAATTTGTCACCGTGGTACCTTTAAATGGTACCTTGAGAAATTAGTGTGACAGCTTGTCTGAAACTCATGGGATAATTTACATATCATTTCCCAGGGGCCTTGGCATTAAATGTTCCATTTATTAGAAATTAGTTTGCCCTTTGATTTATTGACAGACAACAGTGTGATACAGTTCAGTGTATTCAGGGACAAAGTTTAGCTTTCAACCATTTTATATTTCCTTTAAAAATCTAAACAACAATGCATTTAGAAGACTTAAATTAGGACAAAACAAAGAACATAAGCAGTAAAACATGACAGATGCTAAAAAGACAGTGTGTCTGGAATTCAGGGAGACAGTTAATATGCAAAGGTGTAATGAAGAAGATGAACTCATCTCTGTTCAAAGGCTACTTTTGGGGAGGAACTGTATCATCTGATTTAATCAGAATTCATTGTTCTTTTTTCAAACCAAGTCTGAGAATACCATATTTTCAATTATGAGCATTTTGATTACAGCTTCATTCTAACTAATTCAGTCTGAAGAGAATGCAATTGTTATGGTGATTTACATACAATATGCTAAGTTAACACAGCTAATGAGTGAAAGCATAATATTCTTTCTATTTATTCCTGGAAAAATATTGTGCTAAGCAATCTTTGAAAGAAAGAATTACATTATTCCCTAGCATTTTATGTCTACCTACAAGTTGAATTGGCACCGAGCCATTTTCTCTGCTATTCAAGTGAAATCACTCATATTTTGGTGATCACGTCTCTTCCTCTCCCCTTGGGAGAGACTGAAAACAATTCTCAATTTAATTAGATATGGTGCTTTCTCTTTTCTGTACATCTTTATTAGAGGAAAGAGTCTGTATTTTCTAATTTTGGAGGCTGGTTAACACCTTAAACATTACTAATTGCTGGAATATATTTTATGTGTCTTGCAATAGTGTAGTTAGTTAATTATAGCTTTCTCATTAGCACCACGTAGAGAATAATGAATTAACACATCTGTCTGATCAAAAGAACATGTAAGTTTATCTTCTGAGAATAAAAGTGTTATTGTGTTACCAAAAGTCACTATAATTTTCCCAAGAAATAAATTGCTTGGAATTCTCCAGCACTGGGTTAGGAAGCTTGATGAATGAGTTGGATTAATCACAAACAAGAGAGAGTGGAGCTGTGGTTGCTTGGCAACCCAACATTATTCTGCAATTTCTTCTGGTATATTTATCCAGTAAACTAGAAAATTCTGTTTTGTTAACGAATGTTTTTAGTCAGTGCACAAATAGACCATAACTAATTGAGATTTTATGTATTGTGGATAAAAAATGATCCTGCTTACCTCCCATTGTATAGATAATAAAATCACAAAGAAGCACATTCTGCTTTCAACTTTTAAAATTTTCTCTAAACAATATTTATTTCATTTTCATATAAATTTATTACCACCAAAGAATACAATTTGTTTATTCCTTTGAAAATCAAGTTATTAGGATTGGGGCTGGGGATTTAGCTCAGCGGCATAAGCACCTGCCTTGCAAGCAGGCAGTCATGAGTTCGGTCCCCGGTACCGATAAAAACGAAAAAGACAAAAAAAAAAAAAAAAGTTATTAGGATTGTGGGCATGCTTATAAAAAATCCAGTAAAAATAAAAAATAGAGTTTCAGGTGAAATGAATTCTTCCAAATTCATGGTTGGCCATTTGAACTGACAATTAGGTCAGTTTAGATTAAGTATAATAATCAGCTCAAAATAATGGTAGTAGATTATCATAATGATATCATGATAATGAATTTGGCAAATGTGTGAATATAACCTGTGTGTTGACCAGAGTTTCTTTTCCTGGTGGTTTTACCACATTTTCCCCATTGTAGTGTTTGTCTCCATTTTACTTTCTCTGTAGCTGCAGATGTAGGAACTCAGCAAAGCAATTTTGGGAACTAAAATCATACCATTTTCCTATACAGTTTATGAATTTTGGTGTGTATCACAATTCCATTTTTATATTATGAACTCTGAGGATAGAGGCTCCATTTTATGCATCTCATAAACCCTTACTCATCTGGCACAGTGGAAAGAAAATTGGTACACTGGTTAAATGAATTGGCTATAATAGTTAAGCTGCCAGAATTCAAAACCAAAATCTT